TGTGGGAGATGGTGAACAACCAGTCACTGTAGGAGATGGTGAGCAAGCCAGTCACTGTAGGAGATGATGAACAGCCAGTCACTTTTAGAGATGGTGAACAGCCAGTCGCTGTGGGAGATGGTGAACAGCAAGTCACTGTGGGAGATGGTGAACAACCAGTCACTGTAGGAGATGGTGAGCAGCCAGTCACTGTAGGAGATGATGAACTGCCAGTCACTTTTAGAGATGGTGAACTGCCAGTCAATGTGGGAGATGGTGAACAGCCAGTCACCTTACGAGAAAGTGAACACCCAGTCACTTTGAGAGATGGTGTACAGTCAGTCACTGTAGGAGATGATAAACAGCCAGTCACTGTGGGAGATAGTGAACAGCCAGTCGCTGTGGGAGGTGGTGAACAGCCAGTCACTGTAGGAGATGGTGAACAGCCAGTGACTGTGAGAGATGGTGAACAGCCAGTCACTGTGGGAGATGCAAAACAGCAAGCCACTGTGAGAGATGGTGAACAGCCAATCGCTATAGGAGATGGTGAACAGCCGGTCACTGTGAGAGATGGTGAACAGCCAGTCACTGTGGGAGATGGTGAACAGCCAGTCATTGTGGAAGATGGTAAACACCCAGTCACTGAGGGAGATGGTAAACAGCCAGTTACTGTGGGAGATGATGAACGGCCACTCACTGAGGGAGATGGCAAACACCCAGTAGCTGTGGGAGACGGTGAACGGCCAGTCGCTGTAGGAGATGATGAACTGCCAGCCACTGTGGGAGATGGTGAACAGCAAGTCACTGTAGGAGCTGATGAACAGCCAGTCACTATAGGAGATGGAGGACAGCCAGTAGCCTTAGGGGAAGCTGAACAACCAGTCACTTTGGGAGACGGTGTACAGTCAGACCCTGTAGGAGATGGTGAACAGTCAGTCACTGTGGGAGATGGTGAACAACCAGTCACTGTAGGAGATGGTGAGCAGCCAGTCACTGTAGGAGATGATGAACTGCCAGTCACTTTTAGAGATGGTGAACAGCCAGTCGCTGTGGGAGATGGTGAACAGCAAGTCAGTGTGGGAGATGGTGAACTGCCAGTCAATGTGGGAGATGGTGAACAGCCAGTCACCTTACGAGCAAGTGAACACCCAGTCACTTTGAGAGATGGTGTACAGTCAGTCACTGTAGTAGATGATAAACAGCCAGTCACTGTGGGAGATGGTGAGCAGCCAGTCACTGTAGGAGATGATGAACTGCCAGTCACTTTTAGAGATGGTGAACAGCCAGTC